CCCCTTTCCCTCCGGGCTGCGGGGCAGACCTGCTGCGCCCACAGCCGGGCGGCATTAGCAGGCTGCTCGCAAGCTTGGCGGCAGCGGTCCTGCTTGGCCCCCGTTCCCAGACGGCTGATTGAAGGGTGCTTTTCTTCTTTTCATTGCTTCATTAATCCGGAGCAATGCACAGCCTGCAAGTTGGAGTGGGCTGGAGCTGCCCGCTCGAGGACGCGGCGCCCCGCGATGCAGCGTCCCGTAACGAGAGCTGCTGGAAGGGGCAGGGGTTTCACTGGAGCCTTTGGCACCTGCCGGAGCACCGGCTGACCGTGGCCCCCGGTTTTGTGTTGCAGCTTCCCTCCTTCGCCCGCCGCTCGAACATCCTCACGGGGCTGCAGGACCCTGCTGTGGACAACAGGCCAAAGCTGGATCTCGGCTCCTCCGGCAAGAGCCAGCAGCACCAGTATGAACTCAACAGCAAGAAGCACCACCAGTACCAGCCCAACGGCAAGGAGAGTGGCATGAAGCACCAGTCCCACAGCAAAGGGAAGTATTACTACCAGCTCAACAGCAAGAAGCACCACCACTACCAGCCGGACCCCAAGATGTACGAGCCCCATTACCAGCCCAGCAGCAAGGAGCCGCAGAGCCAGGCCTGCTTGGACAGTAACAAGAGCCCCCTGGTCGCCCACCCGGACAAGTGGGCTCACGGCCCGGCCAAAAACCTGCTGGGCCCAGTCAAGAATCTTGCTGCAGAGAGCAAGAATGGGGCTGAGAAGAACCTGTCCAGTGGTACTGGGCCTCCCTCCCGGGACAGAGTGACCAGCAACGGCCTTGGGGGCAAGATGAAGATCGTGAAGAACAAGAACAAGAACGGACGCATTGTGATCGTCATGAGCAAGTACATGGAGAACGGGATGCAGTCGGTGAAGATCAAGTCCGGGGAGCCTCCCCGGAAGCGGGCTGCGGAGGAGAGGACTCCTAAGAAGGGTGGGGAGGAGAAGCTGGAGGCTTGGAGGAAGCCGGGGGAGGAGAGGGTGGTGGGCACCAACACCCTGAGCAAAGCAGAGGGCGAGGGCCAGCAGCCCCCCGCGGAGCTTGAGGAAAGTCCCCAAAAGACTCCCCTGGCCAAGGAGCTGACCATTCCTCCGGCAGAGCAGCCCCTGCAGCTCACCACCAAGCCAGACCTCGTGCCCTGGTCCCTGAGTCCCGTCTGTGAGCACAGCCCTTCCTCCATGGGACTGAACCTCTCCAGCCCCGGCTCGCGCAAGCGCTGCCTGTCGGAGCCGCACGCGGA